GCCTAAATGGATTTTAAGAAGTCCTCTTTTACTGCAAGATTTCCTAGGTATAAATACAGTATTGTCTTACTTCTGGTCCGGTTTCCAAAGAGTGTCCTCGCCAAAAGATTCCACAGTCCTTTGATTCCATATCATCTCCTCTAAATATTCTGGGTATAGGAGTTGAAAAAGACGAAACATTAAGGAGGAGGTTGTCCTTAACTGCTACTGGTCTGATCATAGCTCAGTGCAAAGGCCACATGCAAATGAGATGTTAATCATACCATCTCTTATGACTTTCATTTGCATATCCCTGTGAGTGGCCTCTGGGAAAAAAATCCCGTGTCCTATGTTACTGATTTCCACTATAGAGAAACTTGTGACTAGCTAATCTGGTTGTGGGCTTTCTTGAAATATAACTGCCGATTTCTAAATCTTTTTTGGAAAAGATGTCACCAGCCCTCTGAAGCTTCATCGAACAGAGACTTTTCCTGCCTACCCATCTGAGCACTGACGGAACTGCCAAGAATTGCTGTGTGACATGCTTGTGATGTGTCAGGCACAGATCCACCCGGGAGGTCCGAGGATGACCCCGAGGGAAGCGCTGAAGAAAAGAAGCTACACGTCCTGGCTAACTGCGTGGTCCTTGGGAAACTCTGCAATACCATATTTTGTCTTTTTGTTTTTTTTCCTTTCTTTTTTTTTCCCCTTAAAAAAAACTTAGCATAATTGAAACCTTTTCCTTAAAAGGTTTTTCTTTTTTCTTTCCTTAAAAAAAACTTAGCATAATCGAAACCTGTTCTATAGATCTCGACGTTTTCTTCCCTCTTTTACAGTTGGACAGAAAGGAGTCTATGCCACAAAATGATTTTCTATTGTAGATACCATGTCCCTGGCACCTCTCTGAATCTATCCTTTTGCCGATTCTTGTGGTTTTTCCTTCTGAGTGTTTCAATTGTATGACAGTACAGACAATAAAATGGCTCTCATTTGTTATTCGTTTATACCGTATTCCTCAGTTATTGATATTATGGTTCCGCTTAACTGTTGGCCATCATATTTTATTATATTCCCCATTAGTTAAATCAGTGCTTTAACTCAGTATTACCTATTATGTTAATAAACGACCTTTCCAAGCACCCTTTATATTCTTACAATTTCTCTCTCACACCATCTCCCCTCTCCCTCCTTTTTAAAAAAGCCTTTATTTTGTTTGGTGTACTTTCCCAAAACATTTTAAAATAAAAGATCATTCTTCACCCATAGGGTCGTGGGATTCTGGCTATATGGTTTTCTCTGTATCTCCAGTGTTTCTGAAGGTATGTGAATATTTGCCTTATGAGCCATGAGTGTGGTTTGGCATCGCGTTTGGTGGAATCCAACCATTTATGCGTTTGTTCACTTGTTCATTCAGCTGGTCTGTGCTAAGCATCTACTAGACAGAGTCAGGAGACAGAGAGATAAAAAGACACAGGCTCTGTCACGAGGGACCTTAAGTGCAGAGGAGTATGACAAGGAAAAGACACAATTTCAATACAGAGTGACATCTGCTAAATGGACCCCGAGAGGTGATGTACTTCGAAAGAGATGGTCACTCTATTCCCCGGGTTTTCCCACCAGGAAACTGCCAGATGGGGATCAAGGCTTGTGAACTTCTGAGGCTAGAATTGCTCTAAAACTGCATGAGAGAGCGGAGATAGTGTCTGTCTCGGTCACGACTCTCTTCCCAGTAGCGTTGCCAGATAAAATATAGGACATCCAATTAAATTTGAATTTCAGATACACGATGAATAATTATTTAAGTGTAAGTGTATTGCATGGGACATAATTGTACTTAAAAATGTCCATTGTACATCTTAGATTCAAATTTGACAGGATAGTCTATATTTTTCCTTGCTAAGTTTGGCAATCCTATTTCCCAGGCCCTAGAACTGTGCCTAACACGTAGCTCATGCTTGAGAAATAAGTGTTGAATGAATGGAGGAATAAACTCCTATCCTTGGGATAGAATTCTTTCTACAAGGGGAGGCAAATTAACATTGATGGTATGTATACATTCTCAGTGTCAGGCCCGGGGCTAGCCCTTCCAAAATGATTATTTTCACTAGGAAAAAAAATAAATTTTGCTAAGTCCCCAAAAAAGGGACATTAAGAAGGTTCATTTTCATTTATGTTCCTTCCAAAAATGCATAATTTCCTAAAATGGAGATTGACCAATAAAACCCCAAAGGCCCTGCTAAAATCCCACCTGGATCTGAGTTGGCTGGGATTTCCAAGGACACTGCTGGTTAGGATGTGTTTTTCTCAGGGGTGGAGAAATATTGGGGGAGGGAGGATTAAATTCAGCTAAGAATTAATTAGTGGATTAGAGATATAGAAATGATTTCGTGCTAATGGCTTCACTGGGATGCACTTGTGTTCTGTGTTCTCTGTAGCTGCTCTTCACATCCTTTTAGCTCATCCTACTTCTCCTAGATGTATATGTCTTCATCTTTAAAAAATTTGGTTTGCCAAACATGTTTGATAATTTGCTCACTGTTCATTTTCCTGACTCCATCTGGCTCTTATTTATTTATTTTTCTCATCTAAAACTGCCTCATAAGAGGTTCTCCCTGATTCCCAGGGCCTTGGCAGCCAGCACGGGGGATTAAGTTGAAGAAGTAGATAAGCAAATGGAATTAAAGAAATAATTATAATTTTAATGAAGTCAGAATTGCTGAAGCAAGTCTACAGCTAATGAGTGTGTGAAGAAATGTTGCTGGATGTAGTTAACTACAAGCCAGAGCCTCTTTGAGGCCTTCTCAAAAAGGAGACATATTGACAGAAAAGAGTTAGAGTGCTATTAGATTATCCTAACAGCTTCTACTTAATTGTCTCTGCTATTCTTAGAGCTTTACTTGTGTTATCTTACTGAATCCCCACAACAACTCCATGAGGTAAGTACAACTACTGTTCCCATTTAACAGATGAGAAACTGAGCCTTAAAGAGCTTAAATAATCTAAAAATATGCCCAAGATCTCTTAGCTCTGTTAAAAGGTAAACTGAGGCAGATGAAAAGAGTTTATTTGAGTATCCATCTCTGGATCAGGCAGCGCCCAACCAAAAGTAGTTAGAGGTGCTCCATGAACAGGAGGAGGTTTTTACAGAGAAGACTTGGAAGCAAAGCAAGGCAGTTATTTGACTGACTCTAGTGGCTGCCTTATCTGGGAAAGGCTAGTGGGCTGTTTGCGGTTGGTTGTTCCTAAGTTTCATTTTCTCGGATTTTCACGCACTGACTCTGGCTTACGTTTTGCTTTGCTCATGTAGGCTATCAAGGCATTAGGATCACCCCAGTCTAATGGCCTTCCTGTTTGATTATGCTAACAGCTACTAAATGGTAGACACATTTGAACCCAGGCAATCTGATTCCAGAGACTGCTGTGTAAAATCCCTTACACATGCTGCCTTAGCGGGCAGCAAACTTTTTCTTTAAAGGGCCAGAATATAAATATTTTAGGCTCTGGGGGTCATATGGTGTCACTGTTCCTACTGTATTGCAAAAAAGAGCCATAGACAGTAATACTTAAAGGAGAGGCATGGCTATGTGCCAGTAAAACTTTATTGACAAAAACAAGCCACAGGCTGGATTCGCCCACACCGTACTTGACAACCCCTCCCTACTCTAGATTGTAAGAACACCAAATTCTGTCTTTTATCAGTTTCAGGTTTTTGGTAGAAACCATGAGAAATTTAAACACTTTAATTTCTGGTCTTAAATAAGAGAAATAGTGATTTGAAGTGGTTTTGAGTTTTCTTTTTCTAATCCCTAACGTCAGTGGTGAATATCCAAGTGTGAGAAGGGGGAACATTTCAAAGCTGTGGTGGATTTGTACACAAACCAAACTGAATTCTCAAGCACTTGCACCAACATTGCGGATAAACAAACCCAGAGGTTAAGCGGCAGGATTCACTTAGACGTAGTTGTTTCTGTTTTAATTATATACTGAGAAAAGTGACTATTTTTTGGCAGAAGGTGTGGTTTTGTCTTCCCCTTTGCATGCTTATTGTAGCCGGCGCTAAAAAGACCTTTTACCCAATTTAAGGCAGCATGATGCAGTAGTTATTAAAATGCTTTCCACGTGAGACTGCTTGGGTTTCTGTGATTCGTTTATTCATTTACCAAGTGTTGTCTTGTCTCTGGGTATTCCAGGCTGTGTGTTAGTTGCTAAAAATACGGTGTGAATATAACCAGCAGTGTACCTTCCTTCACAGTGCCTTATCCATGACCTCAAAGCACTTAAGCCAATTGTGCAGGAGATAGAAAAAACTAAGGAGAACGCACATTTACATAAAGAGATATTTTATGATTTTTTGGGGGGGGCAATTTTGACCTTTGCAGAGGGGAATACTGTACCATTAACAAAAATTTTTCCTTTCAGTCCCAGAAAAAATAAATCCATTTTGAGATTTCCACACAAACTCAGTACTTCTCATTCATACTGAACTTTTAAGTTCTTTTGATTAAATGTTGGAGGTCAAGCTGCTTATCTTCTGATGAAAGTCAGTGCTGGCTGATTTCAAAGAGACCTTTTGGCTCAACCTACAGGGATTTGGGTGAGCCAAGGCAGGAGCAGGTGATAGTCATTTGCCTACATTTGTGCTGAAGAAAATACCGCTGCCCACATTCTACTCTCTGAGCTTGTAGTTACCAAATGTTGGCAAAAGATAACTTATTTAGCTGGTCTGGGGTGGAGCTGATGAATCTATATTTTCAATCAGCATCTCTAGGTAATTCCAATGCAGGAGGTATAAATCCCGTTTTAAGAAACCTTGAGGAGATTGAAATGGAGAGAATTCCCATCAGGTGAGATGTGTTACCTGGAGGCAGTCAGCAAGGTATTCTTAAACAAGATGCCTTCGGGGAAGTCAGCAGGCGGAGCTGGGATGCGGCCCGGCTGAGGGCACCAGTGAGATTCCGCAGGGGCGGGTGCTCACACCCAGGAAGGGGAGCTGTGTTGTGACTAAAGCTCAGGCGGTGAGGTCTATAGTGGCGTTTCCCGTGCGTCTGCAATACTTTCTTTGTTGCCATAACAACTAATAAGGAGACTCAGTTTGACCTTCTTTGTTTCTCGGAGATGCCTAAAGTGCAAGGGCTTCTCGCACTGTTGTTTTTAATAGGAAAAAGCCAGCCAGAAGCTGCTCAGGAAAGCAGAGCACAGACTGCAAAGAGCGCGCCAGGTGAAGCAGAGAGCCGGATACCCAGCTGCTGTTTCTAACGACCCGGCGCTCAGCCACTAGCCAATCAGGCTTCCCCCGCCCACCCTTCCCCCCGGAGTGCTTTCCTCCTTGATGTTATTATCTTTGGCCTTTGGTAATGATGCAGTCCCCTCCTGTACTGAAGAGCTGAGGTTGCTTGGGTGGATTTAAAGATGTCGGAGAAGGGTAAGAATTACTATTTTTGCTCTGAGTTTTGACCGGACGGTGACTGCTTGTCTTTGTTGTCTCTCTGCTGTGTTTACATGTTGTGTTTATTTACTTTTTTTCCATTGGAAGCCCTAGGAGGCCCAGCACTAGCTTTGCTTTTTTCAGTAGGTAGCTACCCTCCTTTGGCCTACCTAATGAGGCACACGTGGAAGGCTTCTGTAGCGAGGATCTGTAAATGCTGGCCAAAGCCAGCCTATCCCTGCTTTCGTCAAAGCTGTATTCAAACACAGCCATGCCCGTTTGTTTGTTACCTGTGGTTGCTTTTGCACAACTGCAGAGTTGAGTGGTGGTGTCAGGGGCCACGTGCCCTCTACAGGCAAGGTCCGCAGAGTCCTGCTCTGTACGATCCGGGCCTTCCGGAACCAGCTGATCCTCTGGGGACCCTGGTCCTGCAGGCGTCGCTTGTCCTCAGCATCACTTGTGAGATGAATGTTCTTGGTGGAAGGGAATGCTTAGCCCTCCCCTGAGCAGGACCTGCACCCTCTCACTGCAGGGGTCATTTTTCTGCTGTTCCTTTTGCCTGGAAAAACCTTATTTTCTTCTACTCTTGCAAAACCAACACTTGCTTTAGACATTAATTAAAACACCAGGCTCTGAGTTCCTTCCTGGGATCCCCCAGACCAGACGAAGCCGCCAGTTATAAGCTTTTAAAGTACTCAGAGCGGTTCCTGCGTAGCACTAATTACTGTTTATAGTGACATGTTCGTGTGCTTATTGCATTGTCTGCCTTCTCCGTGCTTCTCAAGCTCCCTGAGGGCAGGAGCTGTATCTAATTGGCTAAGCTTTGTCCCCCCAGCACCAAATAAAATACCTCCGTTAACGTGGCTCCGTGCCAGGGAGCCCTAACTTTTCTGGAACTCCTGTGTGTGCCAAGCGTAATCCTTACACCATCCCTGTGCAGGTGATGACTCCAGGGCCCACATGCTTTACTTCTACACTTGTGGTTCCCAAACTATGTGCTGAGGTGCCCAGGGCGCCACAGTGAGTTCACAGAGGTGCTGTGGGATATATTAACTTTTTGCAGCAAACAGTGATATTCAACATCTATTGAACCTTTGGGAACTGCTGGCTGGAGGCTGTTCAATTTCAACATTAGATCACATTAAATTCATTTCTATGATATCATTTTTGTGAAACTGGGTTTTTGGCAATAAGAAGCAAAAGTACTGTGTGAAAAATAGGTGTGGACCAGTAAATGAGGGTGGCAGTGGGTGTCCAGTCTGATTCCCAGATTTGAGGAACTTCAGTGCCCTATAGACACACACATCCCCTTAGCAAGCAATTGTGGTTAAGAATAAAATTAAAAATAGATTTTCTTTTGATTTAGGTGTATTTTTTAATGGTTCCTAATTTGTTAGGACAGCTTAAATGGCTTGGACCAAACAGCTTAATAAATGGAACTACTAGAGGCAGGACAGGAATAAAGACGCAGACGTAGAAAATGGACTTAAGGACACAGGGAGAGGGAAGGGTAAGCTGGGATGAAGTGAGAGAGTGGCATGGACATATATACACTACCAAATGTAAAATAGATAGCTAGTGGGAAGCAGCCACATAGCACAGGGAGATCAGCTTGGTGCTTTGTGACCACCTAGAGGGGTGGGAATAGGGAGGGTGGGAGGGAGGGAGATGGAAGAGGGAGGAGATATGGGGATATATGTATATGTATAGCTGAGTCACTTTGTTATAAAGCAGAAACTAACAAACTAATTGGAGTAAAGCAATTATACTCCAATAAAGATGTTTTTAAAAAAATGGAACTACTAAATATTTCTCTTGGCCTAAGGGTATTATGGAAAACTTACTGAGCTACGAAACGCACTGTGAACAGAGAAAATGTGAGAAGCTCTGCTCCCTGTTATATTCTTATGCCGTGCAACAGCCCTCAGATATGGGCTCTCAGATTTAAGCCCCTGGTTCTGTATCTAGTACACGCGTACACACAGCAGGGCTGGTTTCATGGGTGCAAAATCCATGCAGTCACACAAGGACTCCATGCTCACAAGGCCCCACATTTGGCTCTGCTGGGGCCATCTTGAAATCCTTCATACTTTTATCTTTGAACTTGTGTTTGTAAGTAAAGTCCCATTGGACAATGGAGCATGCGTATGAGCAGAAGAGGTGCCTGCAGTATGCGTCTACTCGCTGCTCCCCGATGCTATGTTTGTACATAGCATTCGTCGTGCCCCATAAACACAGAATTCCTGAGGCCCCAGGATGCATGGGAGTTCAGGGATCCCCAAAGCAAGTACAACACAAGGGTGTCATATCCATCATGGAGTAAGCAGGGGGCTTGACAGCCTGAGATGCTTTCCCTTTGAACCAGAACTTGCTTCAAATGCAGAAGGAAGGTAGGGGTGGTCTATGAAACACAACCAACCGAGGAAGTCCATCATATCCTTTCTTACACATGGTCTTCCCCTCTGTCATAGAAGGAAAAGGAAAGCTGAGAAAACCCACAGTTCCTTTTCCTTTCAATCCTTTCTCATTCGTCAGAAAGGCCAAGATAAAGGGTGTTGGTAGAATGTCCATGTGTCAAGAAGTGAAATAAAAACAAGTGTGTTAGTTTTTGTGCAGCTTTTCTCCTGTTCTGACAAGAACAAAATGCATATGCATATATGAGCTAAGGAATACGAGGTGTGTAATTTTGGTGATTCAGCATATGAATTGAATGTTCTTATATTAACATTAAAAACGGACATGGCATGATTGATGTAAAAGATGACCAGTAAAATTTGTGCTAATTTAAAATCTTGATTTTTCTTAAGAGATTAATAGCAGATAAGAAACACAATGACACAATTTGTATGGAAACACAAAAGACCCCAAATAGCCAAAGCAATCTTGAGAAAGAAAAATGGAGCTGGAGGAGGACTCAGGCTCCTGGACTTCAGACTATACTACAAAGCTACAGTAATCAAGACAGTGTGGTACTGGCACAAAAACAGAAATATAGATCAATGGAACAGGATAGAAAGCCCAGAGATAAACCCATGCACATATGGTCACCTTATTTTTGATAAAGGAGGCAAGAATATACAATGGAGAAAAGACAGCCTCTTCAATAAGTGGTGCTGGGAAAACTGCCTAACACCTGCCTAACACCATACACAAAAATAAACTCAAAATGGATTAAAGACCTAAATGTAAGGCCAGACACTGTAAAACTCTTAGAGGAAAACATAGACAGAACACTCTGTGACATAAATCACAGCAAGATCCTTTTTGACCCACATCCTAGAGAAATGGAAATAGAAACAAAAATAAACAAATGGGACCTAATGAAACTTAAAACCTTTTGCACAGCAAAGGAAATCATAACCAAGAGGAAAAGACAACCCTCAGAATGGGAGAAAATATTTGCAAATGAAGCAACTGACAAAGGATTAATCTCCAAAATATACAAGCAGCTCATGCAGCTCAATATCAAAAAAACAAACAACCCAATCCAAAAATGGGTAGAAGACCTAAACAGATGTTCCTCCGAAGAAGATATACAGATTGCCAGCAAACACATGAAAGGATGCTCAACATCACTAATCATTAGAGAAATGCAAATCAAAACTACAATGAGGTGTCACCTCACACCCGTCTGAATGGCCGTCATCAAAAAATGTACAAACAATAAATGCTTGAGAGGGTGTGGAGAAAAGGGAACCCTTTTGCACTATTGGTGGGAATGTAAATTGATACAGCCACTATGGAGAACAGTATGGAGGTTCCTTAAAAAACTACAAATAGAACTACCATAAGACCCAGCAATCCCAGTACTGGGCATATACCCTGAGAAAACCATAATTCAAAAAGAGTCATGTACCACAGTGTTCATGGCAGTTCTATTTACAATAGCCAGGACATGGAAGCAACCTGAGTGTCCACTGACAGATGAATGGATAAAGAAGATGTGGCACATATATACAATGGAATATTACTCAGCCGTTAAAGGAAACGAAATTGAGTTATTTGTAGTGAGGTGGATGGACGCAGAATCTGTCATACAGAGTGAAGTTAGTCAGAAAGAGAAAAACAAATACCCTATGCTAACACATATATATGGAATCTAAAAAAAAAAGGTTCTTAAGAACCTAGGGGCAGGACAAGAAGAAAGACGCAGATGTAGAGAATGGACTTGAGGACGGGGGACGAAGTGAGAGAGTGGCATTGACATATATGCACTAGCAAATGTAAAATAGCTAGTGGGAAGCAGCCGCATAGCACAGGGAGATCAGCCCGGTGCTTTGTGACCACCTAGAGAGGTGGGATAGGGAGGGTGGGAGGGAGGGAGACGCAAGAGGGAGGGGATATGGCGATATATGTATATGTATAGCTGAGTCACTCTGTGATACAGCAGAAACTAACACACCATTGTAAAGCAATTATATTCCAATAAAGATGTTAAAAAAAAAAAAGAAACAGTGACCAACAGAGAGAATAAGGAAGAAAGGAAAACAGGTTACATTTTAGTTCCTTGAGCGGCACTTCTTTCTTGCTTTTTGAACACGGAGGCTCCCCTTTAATTGTACACTGGGTCTCACCAGCTCCGTGGCCGGTCCTGTGCAGAAGGTACTTCTTGAAGAGAAAGCAAGCTGAGTGGGGCTGAGGATTAGGTTCCAGTTGAGTTTTTCTGCCTCTTTCCTGCTTCCACATGTGGCTTCCACCCAGGACCCCTGCTCACCTTTTAAACCTTCCAGTCCAGTCTTTTAATAATTGACCTCTATTGAAGACAAGCCACGCAGTTCCTATTTTAAGCGGATGCTCCAGTCACGGTGACTGCCCAGAACTAAATAGTGTAGAATTATTTTCCTCATCACTGAATTCCTTTTAAAGCTGTCCCTACAGAACAAAGAAAGAAAGAGAAACATTTGGTTATCAAAGGAAGCCAGCCCCCAAATTTACTTTGCTTTAGCTGTCATGCAAATTTCAAGCAAGAGGCCTAGCTGGATGGCTTTGAAGATAAA